ACACCTAGAGTCTGAACACTTCGCCAACATCATCCCTTCAAGCGTCACTTGGTTACGTTACGTGGACGACGTCCTCGTAATAACTCCCAAACGTTTTGATGTACGGAATCTTCAGGCAAGGCTCAACGCAGTTGAACCGGCGATCCAGTTTACACTTGAAGAAGAGTTCAATGACAAGCTACCTTTCCTCGACGTCCTCATTCACAAAGTAGACAACAACCTAAGATTTCAAGTTTATCGGAAACCCACCAATAAAAATTATCTCACACACTTCTATTACAGTCAAGATACCAAGACCAAAAGAGGTATCATCGGGTTTTTCCTAAGAGCATAATACCGAATTTGTAGTCCCGAGTTTCTTGACGAGGAATGTACATACATTCACCAAACATTCACTGAGTTACATTTTCCTTCCTTTTTCATCAAAGATTGCAAGAAAAGAGCTCTTCAGATCATTAATTCTCCACGCACCAACACCACTCCCAACAAAGTTATAATTCTTCCCAACAGCCAGGTTGCACTGAACGTTTCTAAAGTACTTTCACGAGCTGACACCAGAGTCGCCATCGCTTCTAGCACTTCAATAAAGGATCTAACCAGGACAAAATCAAAGCACCACGAACCAGTCAATGCAGGAGTTTACACTATACCCTGTGGAGGCTGTGACAAGATTTACGTAGGTGAAACAGCATGAAACCTCGACACCCGCCTCAATGAACACATTTACGCATGTAGGAACGATAACTTGAACAATCATCTCATGAAATTCAGGGACTCCCAATTAGTGATCAAAGAAACTAATTTCCGCAGACGCAAGTGCCTCGAATCAGCACTGATAGCTGTTTCGAACACAATTAAACAAAACAACGGCAGCTTCACCATCTCTGAAGTCTTAGCAAGAATCCTCCTGAAAACAGTAAACCCTGCCATCACATAGTCTCTCCTGTTATACTACACAATGCACATTACAGAGAGTGAACACTGAAACAGGCTGCCTCTATCAAGTTTATATTTGTCCAACCTATTTTTTATGTTACCCAAGTAATAGCTTTTATATCCTTTTACTCATGTACGAATTAATTGCTCTACAATATTGTATTACTACTACTACTACAACTTTTGTCAATACTACTACCACTATGTGTGTGATGAATGGTTTGAAAAACCGACAAGTTGAAGATTGAGACACTTATGCAGCATATGGAAATCTTTATTCAGGAAACGTTTCGCCACACAGTGGCTTCATCAGTCCAATACAAAGAGGAAGGCGTAAGGAGAGGAGGAGAATGAGGTAATCAGTCCCTCAACCTGGAGTCGATGTGGTCAGTCCATCAATCTTGTAGAATGTACAGCATAGGGCCGTAGACGTGGCTTATTCATCACAACTGTCAGACACTGCAGCATCATGGGATCTTGTTACAAAGAATTCTTCAACACTTGTTCAACCTTTGGACGAAGACCTACTTCGACTAGTGGATGGTACCACTATGACCCCGCCTCCATCTGCTTCACGTCACCTCACTACAGTATATAAGACACGTCTACGGCCCTATGCTGTACATTCTACAAGATTGATGGACTGACCACATCGACTCCAGGTTGAGGGACTGATTACCTCATTCTCCTCCTCTCCTTACGCCTTCCTCTTTGTATTGGACTGATGAAGCCACTGTGTGGCGAAACGTTTCCTGAATAAAGATTTCCATATGCTGCATAAGTGTCTCAATCTACTACCACTAGTATTGCACTTCACTCTGAGCCTATATATACCCTCTGTGCCCATGTATTGTTTGTAATGGCTTGATAAAGCTCCTGGAGAGCGAAACGTTGCCACAATAAAATGTCACATTAGTTGCACTTATGTCCTTTTACTTTACATATGAAAAGTTAATAAGAACATAAGAATGGAGGAACACTGCAGAAGGCCTACTGGCCCATGCGAGGCAGGTTCTTATCAAAACAACCTCTACCTAAAGCTACCCAAAAAATAACTCCCGAACCCAATGACACCAATCAAACCCAGCCCCTCCCACTCATATTTGTCCAATCTCTTCTTAAAGCTGCCCATGGTCCTAGCCTCTATCACCCTACTGGGAAGACTGTTCCACGCATCTACAACTCTGTTAGAAAACCAGTACTTACCTATGTCCTTTCTAAATCTAAATTTATCCTGAGCAATGAATACTAAATATCTATGATGAACAAGATTAACTTCAGAGGTATTCTCTGGTTACATTACATGATTGAAGACATTCTTTGAAAACTTTAGGAAAATTTAATATGCTTTGCGTGATGTGAGAATTAATGAATCTCGTTGGAAGATACGACCAGCACAAACTCATGTTTTGATCTGCAGAATTATACCCCAAAGGGCGACTATTGGGCAACGCCAATCCTACTTTAAGTAAACACACCGCCATAAAAAGTAGTTAATTTCTTCCCAAACTGCTGACGAACAATTAAATATATCAACTCCATCCTTTGCTATTTTACTCTTGGGATCTTGCTCCCTTAACAAATTATCCTTAACTAATATTCAACTATCGGTTAAGTGCTACCAAAAAATGTTTGCAGCTCGTCACAGACTATTGTCAGTCCACATAAAGTTGCATTTTAGAAACTAATTGTAACATAAATTTCGATACGCTACACACAAAATCTTTAAAAACAAGGAAAAGAAAATCCTCACGTTTGACCCGTCTTTTCAAACTCCTTCATAAACTTTTGCAACTTCTCCTCCGAATCTCCCAAAAACAGAGTGTCATCAGTAAACAGCAACTGTGGCAACTGACACTTAACTCGTAAAAACTTTTTGTACAGCTTATCACTTCTTATAGACTTTTGTAACACAAGTCGCACTGCTTCCTAATTCACCCAGTTGTATGCATTTTATTAATCCATCAATACAACACCATTTTTTATTTTTTTTAAGTACTGCTCACATATTTGCATCACTGCAAACATTTCATTTAAATATACCCCTTTTCTGGAATCCACAGTGTATATATACCGATATTCGTACATTTCTTAGTGCATATATACCAAGAGGCATATATTTTTAGTGCTTGAAAATCACTCGAGGTGTGTATTTTTCAATGAATACAAGACAAATGTATCCCTCAGTGATTAAACAGAGAAATGTAACTCAGTAATACAGAATTATTTACAAAGATCTAATTTTTTATCTGTTCTGGGGAGAGAGAGAGAGAGAGAGAGAGAGAGAGAGAGAGAGAGAGAGAGAGAGAGAGAGAGAGAGAGAGAGAGAGAGAGAGAGAAAGAGAGAGAAAGAGAGAGAGAAAGAGAGAGAGAAAGAGAGAGAGAAAGAGAGAGAGAAAGAGAGAAAGAGAGAAAGAGAGAGAGAAAGAGAGAGAGAAAGAGAGAGAGAGAGAAAGAGAGAGAAAGAGAGAAAGAGAGAAGAGAGAATCACTTACGGGGAAGATTGCAAAATATAGCAGCTAAGGCGTTGATGGCGGCGGTGAAGGAGGATAAGGCCTTAATGTAGCAATAAACTCCAGAAAGCTGCATTACAAGCTCACGGGGAAAAATAAGCTTAAATTCAATCTTTGGGTTTCTTTCGCGGGAATTCGTAAGGTTAATCAGCTTTCCGGAACCGTGGGTAGGAAGATCTTATCAGAGGACATTAAAGCCTAGGAGAGATGTTGCAATCCATTACGGCAGGTAAGAAAATGAGAGAAAGATTTATTTGTTTTGGTATAGCTGAGTGATTGGCAGGTTTTGTTATTTTAGCAGTTTTACATATGTGTTGTTTATAATTATATTTGTGCGATAATAATAATAATAATAATAAAATATTTTTAACATATCGGTCGTCTTCCGCTGAGATAGAGTGACAAGAAAGAGAAGAAACACTTTCACCATCACTCACGCCATCACCGTCATGTCAGAGAAACGCCCACATTACAGCTCACAAGCCCATTCAAACTGCATTATCCCTACATCTCCATCAGTTTGTAGGCACTGCACTGCCCACCTCCAGGACTCGTAGTCCAGCTAATAGGTTTCCCTGAATCCCTTCATAAATTATCTTGCCTACACTCGACAGCACATCAGGTCATAAAAGCTACTCGATTCCTCCACTCTTAACGTCATAACACGTGCCTGTTGGATGTCCAAGCCTCTCATTTGCAAAACTTCCATTACCCAAGGGGCCCCTACCAATGCTTTCCTCCGAAATTATCATTATTATTATTTTGATTATTATTTATTCAATATGCAGGGAGATACATATATGCCAAAATAAGATATAAAATATAAAGACCTTAAATATTTTAACTTGTTTCACATTTGGATTATCCAAGCTGAAATCTTTGTCATTGTTGTATGTTTATACAACTATGTTTATACAAATATGTTTATACAACTATGTTTATACAACGTTAAAAAATATTTTTGTAACTTGAAAACTGTTTAATATTATTATTATAATCAAAAAAGAAGCGCTAAGCCACAAGGGCTATACAGCAAACTGTTTAATAAATTTCCAAGAATAATATGTTAATTAATAGAATAACACTATAGAATAAAAAAAAAATATATATTCGGATTTACCAGCGAGGACTAATAACTTTAAAAAGCCAACATCATTGTATGACCCTTTTTGGGTTTAGCGCTTGTGATTATAATTATACAATTTTAAAAAACCAAGTAGTGGGGGTTTATATTCATTTGGAATCCATTTCAGGTCTACTTTATAGAACCCCTTGAAGGGGGCACCATGACGCTGGTGAGAGAGACTTTATCCTAGGAACTGGACCTGACATCTCCTTCCTTGGATCGAGCAGTTATACATAGCTTTTGTGCCCAGCGTGTAACTATCATATAGCATAGGATAACAGCACACTGCTAACACATCTAATTTTGATACATGGAAAAAAATTGATAACCATGACTCGGGTCACAGAAAACGGGGAGGCGAGAAGCGACACAGCACACAGGGCGTGAGGATGATCAAGGAGAGGGGTCAGTGTTGCTGTGGCTCTTGCAAAGAGGGGATGTTATCGTTCAGTCCTCAATCCTTTTTAAACGGTGAATTTATTCTAAAATGAGCCCTCTTCTTCCTCCTGTTATTTTAAAAAAAATTTAACCTGAAGCTCCATACAAATTTGATTGGAGCTTATTGTTTTCTTGACGTTCTGTAGATCAAGTGTACACAGTTGTGATCTGAAGGAAAAGTGACAGGAAGAGATATTTGCAATTGAAAGCCAGATGTGTCCTGAGTGCATGAGTGATACAAAACATCGCAAAATAGACACATCAGAAGAATAAACAAATCTGTTCTGTCCGCCTTTCACCAAGAAATATATAGACCTAAACTATTGTTGGGATTATTTTCCATATGTGATTTCTGACAAAAAAAAATCCTTCTAATGATATTTATTAGGTAAGTTTGCACATATATATATTATAAATATATATATATATATATATATATATATATATATATATATATATTATATATATATATATATATATATATATAAAGTCATAATGAATGACTGTCAATGAATAAACAGAAGTATGTACGTATGCTTGAGCCATGGTCCATATAGCAGGCTCAACGCTGTAACCATTCAACCACGACTGACATGGTCATGTATAATATACAGTGAGTACTGTAAATCAGAGTGGAGGGAGAAACGAGTAAGTGAATGTATTTGAATGTTTAGCGAAATGTGGGCAGACAGGTCTTTGAGAGACTAAGTGAAGCATAAACGAGGGAAAAAAAGAAACACGTGATGAATTGGGAAATCTGTGGAAAGAATAAAGTTTAACGAAGACAGGAAGAAAGAGTACCAGAGTACAATGGTACCAACACTATGCATATACGTGAGGTGTGAGCTGTAAACAAGGCAGTGATGAGGAAGTCTGATGCAGTGAATATGCTATGTTTGAGAATAATTTGTGGTGTGTATATAAGGCAGATTATTAATAATACGGGGATTAAATGGTGTATGGGGCTGCAAAAGGTATTATTCTAAGGGCAGAGAATCGTGCTAAAGTTTCGAGAGGTTTGATCTCCGACTAGTTGCACTATTGTTTTCTTCTTAAAAACCACTCATTATATATATATATATATATATAAATATATATTAATATAAATAATATAATCTATATATATATATATAAATATATAATAATAATATCTATATAAATTTAATGGGAAATTTGGCTGTATCCCAGGCGAGGTAGTGACTTAAAATTAAAAAAACGAAAAGTTTCTCTTTTAAATTTAATAATATATACCCGGAGAAGGGGTTACCACCCTTGTTCTTGGCATTTCACCGCCTCCTTTCGACACTCCCCATGGTTATATAATATTTATATTATATATATATAAATATATATAATATATATATAAACATATATAATATATATATAATATATAATATATATATAATATATAATATATATATAATATATAATATATATAATATATAATATATATTATATATATATATATATAATATATATATATATATATATATATATATATATATATATATATAATCAGTATACTGCAGTAGCCGGGGATCGAACCTTTGTTGTTTTAAGCCGCCTCATGGCGAGCGAAAATTCACGACACTAAACCCATGACCATATATCCTACAAGAATCATGCACCAGCAAGCTAGGTGTTGTACCGTGATCCGAGGACATACAATGGTGCGGGTGCCTCAGAGCTAATTTCATTCTTCTCCCCATTTGGTGTACTAGCCTCCACAAACAGTGTATATAGTATTGAAACTACGAACGAGTGGCATTTAATCATTAACAACACTGCGACTAGCCGGGGGATCGAAACCGTGTTGTTTTAACCCACCTCATGGTGAGCGAAAATTCACGAGAGACTAACCTACAACATACCACACGTTGCAACAGTGGTATGCAGAAGAGCATTCCTGAATGCACAATATACCCAACTGTGAAGTGGATAGGACACAGCTGAAGGTCATCCCGGGTTCCACTCCTGTCAGTTATGAACAAGAATCTGATGCTACAGTGGACAAAGGCTCCCCAAAACTGGACAGTTGAAGATTGTCCTCATTTTTGTTATTCTGCTGGATAAGAAAGGTGTCAGAAAGAGGGAAAGGCTATTCTGAGAAGTGTTTAAATGCGTAGAATACGAATTTCGGTGATTTCATCCACAAAGCAGGACAAAGAAATCCACAAAATAGTTGTGAAAGCGAGCTGGACAGTATGCAAGTTATTAGTGGAAAAAAAAGTACGGAAATAAATTTAAGAAATATAAATAATAAGCTGGTATGAACTTTAGAAATGGTTGGGATTTACGTTTAATACATACGTAGGTCCTGTGTACAAGGAAAAAAAAGAGAGCACGTGAATTGTAAAGGAATTAAGTTGTTGAATTTAGCGAGTGAAGTGTTTGGGGAGTGAAGTGTTTTTATCTACTGGAAGACAGATAATAAAATATAATTGCAGAGAATAAGAGATGCATTTAAAATGGAAGATAAATGGATCAAGCGTTTGTACTGAAGTACGTACAGTGTGTTTACCTGGAATTTACCTGGAGAGGGTTTCGGGAGTCAACGCCCCTGCGGCCCGGTCTGAGACCAGGCCTCGTGGTGGATCAGGGTCTGATCGCCCAGGCTGTTACTGCTGGTCGCACGCAAGCTGACATACGAACCACAGCCCGGTTGGTCAGGTACTGACTTTAGGTGCCTGTCCAGTGCTTTCTTGAAGACAGCCAGGGGAGGCAATTGAACAGTCATGGGCCCCGGACACTTATTGTGTTGTCTCAGTGTACTCGTGGCTCCCCTGCTTTTCATCGGGGGAATGTTGCATCTCCTGCCGAGTGTTAATGAAAGAAATGAACATTTATGAATTTGGAAAAGACATATGATTAGGTGTACAAGACAGTGATGTGGCAGTTGCTGCGAATGTACGGATTAGTCAGTATGTCAAATTTTGAAGACCTGTATGTAGGGAAGAATATTTCCCAGTAAAAGCGAGTTTTACTGAGGTGTATCATGACCGTGGCTGTTTAATGTATTTACAGACTGCGTTGTAAATGCTAGGTTGTTAGGGAAAAGCTTAGTCATAAAAGTTTATGAATCTCATACAAAGAAAAGTTTTCATGGTTTAGAAAGACACGTAAGCAGACACTATAACATATTTATTAGAAAACGTTTCGGTTCTGGGACCTTGATCACTTCTAGAAGTGATCAAGGTCCCAGAACCGAAACGTTTTCTAATAAATATGTTATAGTGTCTGCTTACGTGTCTTTCTAAACCAACTTGTCGGTATTTATTACCAAGGTTTATACCAAAAGTTTTCATAGCTGCGCTCAGCTAATGACGGTACATTCTGGAGATGAGAAATTAAAGATTGCAGAAATGGATTTTTGGATTTGAGAAGTTGTATAAAAGAAGACAAAAAGGGAATATTTAAAAAAAGAAAGTTTGTAAGATGTTTAGAAAATGAAAAATTGAATATCAAGTTGGAAAGAGTGAAGAATATGTGAATGTAGTTAGAAATTTAGGAGTGAATGTATCAGCAGATTTATCGCAGAACAGATAGCTGTTAGTGGTTGCAAAAAGATGCATGTGCCTGAGTTACAAGGATGCAAAAGCAGTTGATTTTTCTTTATAAGAAAAAATTTAACATAGAAATTAGTACTCTAATTGTTCTCTGAACGTTTTTCAAATATAGCAACATAATACACATCCTTACTAAAGATAGAGAACTGTATCATACCTTGAGACTTCTATTATATATTTCCTGATATGAAAAATTTCAGTCAAATTACCAATTTTGACTACAGTAGTTAAACTTAAGACACTATAGAAGAAACCTCAAACTGCTTCTTCAAGACGTCCAATATTTTAAAGATTCTCGAACTGCATTATAGGACAGTCAACTGACTTTCTCACCCATTATTATTATTATTATTATATTATAATCAAGTGAGAAGCGCTAAACCCGGTGGATTATACAGCGCCTGGGGGGGGGGGATGTGGAAGGCATTCAGGCTTAATTCGGGGAACTGGAGCACAGATTCAATTCCCTAAATCAAGAGCCCCTCACCAACACCAAGGAACCTTCCTTGAGGGGACTTTCTCACCCAGTAAGCGTGGAATCCTTGAAACAGTCTACCCACCAACGTAAAAGACCGATACAGCTCAAAAATCACCCCAAAAAAGTCACCTTCGCTACGGATAGCTATATTCGATTGATCATGGTTTATATAATTCATTTATGTACGGCGTTTTCCTTTCCACACAGAACTGCATAAAGAAAATATAAGTGGTCTGGACAATATTAGCAGACTTAGGACTTGTGATGTCCCACTGAACTCTAAAGGGTCCATCGAGCCACTGTCACAGTGTAGAGTTCGAGGTCACGAAGCACCTGAACTACAAGTCTGCCGCTAGGCTGGTGCTTAAAATAATTTATACTAACGGGAAAGTGCTGAACCCGTAAGGGTTACACAGCGCCTGGGGAATGAGAGGCAATCAGATCTGATCAGGAAAAAGGGAAGGGTGCCTTTATCTCCTTGGATCAAGAGCCCCTCAACACAAACGCATTCCACTGAAGGGCCTGATATGGCTAATATAACCCATGAACAAAATTTACCAACTTGATCGTATGTCTGGAAGAATATGAAACGACGTGATTAAAAGTAGGAGAGAGAGATGAACGCTGAACACGGAGAGAAGTAACAGAAACATTTCAGTACTTTTACAACGTTAATGTCACAGAGGAATAGAATGAGTTATAAACATTTTAAAAGCCTATTCCAACCGAAATAACTTTCGTCTGCCAACCAAGTGAAGGGTACCAAGGGTTGGGGCTCAACATTTGACAACTCAGCGACAGAATACACACGTAGTAACGCTCTGTTATCCGCCTACACACGCAATGCTACGTTTCCATTATATGTTTTTATCAGATTTATTGCCGTTTTATGCCTTGGCTAGTTATTGCTCGAAATACGTAGTGTTTTTATTGCTTTTACGATCTCGTGGGTTTAAACTTATACTTCACGTGGAAAGTACACAGAATACCTCAAATTGGGTCAAGTTTATGATATAATACTACCTCTTTTACAGCTTAGTGTTTGGCTTGTTGGTGGTGGAGAGTTTTTGGCTGTATGGTGGTGGTGTGTGTGTGTGTACTCACCTAATTGTACTCACCTAATTGTGGTTGCAGGGGTCGATACTCAGCTCCTGGCCCCAGTCTGGTCCTTCACTCTTGCAGGGTTGTTAGATATAATTTCTTCAACTTCGCCTTATAGTTACAATCTTTCAGTTCTAGAACCAGTCTAGCTGGAAATCTCTCTATATTCTCCTGCTGGACTCCATGCTGGTGTATTATATTCTAAAACTGAACTGACATAGAACGTCTAAAAGGATTTTTATT